TCTCTCTTTTTTTTTTTTTTTTGCGGGGTGGGGAGGGGCAGGGTCTCATGGAGCCCAGGCTAGCCTGGAACTCTAGTGCTGGGATTACAGGCATGGACTACCACACCCAATTTTATGTGGTGCTGGGGGGTCAAACTCAGGGCCTCGTGCATCTACTTATTGAACGATATCCCTAGTTCCCATTTTCAGCTCCCCCTAGGAAGCAGTCCCTGCAGCCCCAGGTGGGTGCAATAACCACCTCTGCACACACTCAGGACACGTGTTACAATCGTTGTTTGCTCACTTGTCTATGGTCCTACAGACCCCACTCCCCCAACAAAGACTTATACCCAGCTTTCCAGTACATGGAGGGGCTGTATGAATAGCAAGAGATGGATAAGTTGAGCACCTTCTTTTCCTGACCACTGAGAGCAGGAAGTTGGAGAACAGTGAAGTCTGGTGAGCCAAGGTACTGGCCAGAAGCACACTCCAGTCACCTGACACACCCAGGCCCCCTTGGACTCATTACTTAAGTAGCCTGCTCCTGAGAAAACTTAATCTCTTAAAAGGGCTGATAAACAATCTCTTAGCACCTGAACAAATGGAAATGGCAGGAAGGTGCTCCCTCAAGGGCTGGGTCCACTGTTTCCTGCTCAGAGTCATGGGATTAAGTGTGTCCTCCTTGTTTGGGTAATTAGCTCAGGAACCCAAAGGTCTTTAAGAAGTAGAGATGTCATTGCAGCTCAGCCAGGTTTATCACCGAAAATCACTTTCAATGCTGACGCTCATCTGAGACCAAAGCTGTTTGCTGGGTTAGAGTCAGGCAAGTGACTTTTCTTATCTTATGACCCAGTTGACATAGTTCTGGACCGTGAAGTTGTGACCTTCCAGGTGGTCACATGACTGTCGACGCTCAGGCTTCCTACTGAGTTTACTTCTGAGAAGTTGGCATCATACCCAGGCTCTTGGGACCCTGCTCATCAGCAATACCACTCTGAGAAGTTAGGCTGGGCATGGGAGAAATCAGTTCACTCAGAACAGTGTTGGGTAGACTGAGGGAGTGGGTCAGCTGGAGACTATTCAAACACAAGAGTGGCTGGACACAGGGCGAGGGGAGTAGTTCCTGTCTGGGTGGACAAGCCAGCCTGTGGAGGGTGAATTTGTGGCAGCAGGTGTCTGGATTCCTGGCTCCTGAGCTGGAGTCTCTGTGGGCCCCTATGAGGAGTAAAAGTGTCCCTCTGCCTGAGGTTGGCTGGAAATTGTGCCTGTGTTCCCCCTAGTCTGCCCTGTAATTAGAGACACAGGTACCATTTAAGTGATTGGGGAAGATTATAGAGTTTTAGATAAGTAGGATTAGAATGTCCTGTCTTTCCTTATTCTTATCCAGGTGAACACCCTAGGAACCATTGAAAATAATCCTGGGGAGACATTCTGGTTCCGGCACCTCCTGTGGAGTCTGAGAGGCAAGATCTCCCTAGAGTAATCCTGGGGGAAAGAGGAAGTTAGGAGAGGGGACAGGTGGTGCAAAAGCTGGAATGAGGAACAGGTAAACCTTTTGGAATGAAGGGGATGTAAGGTGCAACAGAGATGTGGGTGCCTAGGGATTTTTTCACACATTCTACAAATGTTATTAAGCATCTACTGCCCCTAACGCAGGCAGTGGAGACTGGGGTGGAAGAAAGTATGGCAAACAGTCTTTTTGAGACAGGGTCTCCCTGTAGCCACAGCTGGCCTGGAACTCACCATGTAGACCAGGCTGGCCACGATCTCACAGAGATCCACCGGCCTCTCCCCTCTGAGTGCTGAGGTTAAAGGCATGTGCCCCATACCCAGAAGCAAATGATCTTAAGATATGGTGGGAAGGACTACGAAGGAATAAAACAGTGTGACATGACTGCCTCTCTGAGCAGTGTCAGCTGAGAACTGAATCATGAATTTGGGTCATTTTGGGGCCAAGTGAAGGGAAAAGTCTTCCAGTCAGTGGGACAGTATACAGTAGACAAAAGAGAGAGGCTTGACTGCATGGGTAGGCAGTGGTTCAGGAGGCATGAATGTGGAGTCCCAATGCTATACACAAATCTGAAGCTCTATTCTGTGCAAACACGGGCAATAATTATGTCCATTCAGATAGAAGTCCTGTCCCTGGCACTTCTGAGGGTGTGGTCAGCAGCGCAAGGCCTTTATCTCAGATGGACACCAGGGCTTTGTGCATGCTAGGTGAGCACTCTACCACTGAGTTCAGCCTCTCCTGCAAAGGGCTTGGCAACACATGGCTGCTGCTTGTAGCCGTGCTCCAGCTGTGAAACAAAAGCATACTGCATAATGACATCACCACACAGTTGATGACAGTCAGTGACGCACAGGAGGAAAAGGGCAGAGATAAGCTTCCTGCCTGTCTCAGACACTGAAGGTCAGGTGGAGAGAGAGGCTTTTGCTAGGCTGCATTGTGGGTGTGTGTGTGTGTGTGTGTGTGTGTGTGTGTGTGTTGTCATACAGTTACCCTGGAGATTCATTGCCCTTCACTGAGTCTCAAATTCTACAGGAGTAAGATGGGGGAGGAAGTGCTAATGCACCCTAGGTTCTATCCTCACAAGGATCTTCCAAATGGGGGGCTGGGAATTGGGTAGAACTAAGGGAAGGGCCTGGTCCTCAGAAGACCTGATACTCTGACTTTCTAGGCTCCTACCCAGAGCCACCGGGACAGTGCAAGGTGGGTGTTTGCCAGAGGCAGGCAGGCCTCGGGTGGTGGTGAGAAGGTCGCCCAAAGTAAACCTGTCTTGTTTGCCTGGATTGTAAAGGAAAAACGCTTTGGCACACTTGAACAGGAACTTCTGGGGAATGAAAACATATTCATCCTGGAGATTAGGTTGACTTCCGGGGTGCAGATGAGGCCCTTTGTTCTCTGTGGTTCCCTAAAGTAGGTTGTATGGCTGTTCTTTATGTGTCCCCCAACTTGCGCTGGACTTGGAGCCTGGGGGAGTGGCGCCTTGCCAGGAGGGAGGATAACTTCCAACTATGGCTGTCACTCATCTTAGTGCTTGCCTCTCCACCCCCTTGGCCTGTGGTCCTGTCCTCTCTCCACCTTGACTCATAAATTTCCCTGACATTTATTGAGATCTTGCTTTGTTCCAGACACTAAGTACTTTAGTTGAATTATCTGGTTTAATTCTTGGGACAAGCTTGTAAGACAAGTTTTGCAGTTCACTGATAGTAACTCGCATGTTTCTTTGCACAGGTTGACACCTCTGAAGTCAAAATGTGTCTTGTAACTAATGATGTCACAGGTTAGTAGATGATATCCCTCCTTTAATGTACAGAAGATAATGGTGTTTCACACTGTTGATGCCACCTCAGATTCAGGGAAACATGATATTGTTACCATTCCTGGTCTGTAGATGAGGAAATTGAGGCCCAGGGCTTTGTACTCCTTTCTTTTCATAGGAAACTGGAACCCAGGACCCTGAGTGGCTTGCCCTAGGATCACTCAGTTTCAGGAGACAGAGATAGGACTGAAAGTTAAACTTCAGCCTGTGAACCCAAGGCCCTTTCCACTCTCCCTAGATGAACTGTATTAGCTCACTGGGGAAAGACAGATGATGAGAGGAGGGTCTTCTAGAATGTTCTTCAGCAGCTAGTGATTCACAGGCCATTCTGCTTTAGAGAATGGCCTTAAAGACAGATTTATTTTCTCTCTTTAAATTCTCTGAAGACTGAAGTTCCTTAAGGTCTAAGAAAACACTTGCCTCTGGTCCAGCCCCATTTCCTGGTAACTGGATTATCTTTTTTCGCCTGAATTTCTGCTCTACTATCCCATCTTGGATCAGAGGCAGGCCCGCCCTTTGGCCCTCTGTCTGCCTGCTGCTTGGGGAACAGCTCCACCCATTTCCGGCTTTGCGCTCCTGCTCTGAATCCACAGTCCTTTCCACTGCCTGGAATCACCTGTACCAATTCTGCTTCTAGATGCTTCCAAACTCTGGGTCACTTGAATCCACTGCCCAAAGACATACACTCAGTCATCTTGAGTCTTCCAATCCCTTTAGAAGACTAAGGAAGTAAAACCAAGGAGGTAAAAACAGAGCTGGTTGTTTCTTCCCACCTTGAGTCCCATCAGGGATATGCCCCTGAAATCCTGCTCCACCTAGGGCTGGCAGAGCAAAAACTGTGGGTCTAAGAGGAAGGGCAGGAGTATGGAAAGTTGGAGACCCGCCTCTGCCTGTGATCTACTGCACAGCCTCAATTTCCCCAGCCTCCAAATCTGGTGAGACTCAAGTGGTTTATAACCAAGAAGCTTAGAGGCAACATCAGGCCTTTAAATCAAAGACTTTGCTAAAATCTAACTTGTCTGGAATCAGCTGAGCAGGGAATGCTATAACCTGCTCCCTGCAGCAGATTCCTTATAAATCTGTGTTTTAGACATGATCTCTGTGTGGCCCTGTCTGCTAGGAGCCTAGGAACTATGAACTGTGAATGACTGAGAACTGGGTGTGCAGCTCATGGTGATGCAGTCATGTACCCTAACTGCCGAAGGATGGCCATGACAGAGAGGTGTGGCCCTGAGTGAGGGGCTTCTTTCATTTGTGTATGCATGCATATGTGCACTCATGTGTGTGTACACATGCCTCTGATGAAGAAAGCACCAGTTCCCACCTAGGGGCAGGCCACCTCACTAAGCTTGTCTCTGCCAGAGTGTGCGGCTGCAAATCTGGTTTCCATCTTCTCCCAACAGGCAGCAGGGCTGGGGGAGACTGAGTAGAATATTAATTGTGCTTTTGCACGTGGCCAGGCTCCATGAATGTGGTGGTCGGAGGGAGCAGCCTGGAGTTATGTGGGGAATGAGGGGAAACCACAGCATCAGAGCTCCTGGGTTTATGACTGTGCTGAGGCGGAGGCTGAGCACAGAGACTCAAAGATGGCTGGTGGGTGGGTGGGGGTCTTCTGAGACCTGGGATCAGGGGATAGCTAAATTTACAGTGATTCCCACATTTGCCTAACATAGAACCTGACCCAGAAGAGGTCTGCTAGGGAGAAGACAGAGTAGGAGAAAGAAAGGAAGGAAGGAAGGAGGAAAGGAAGGAAGGAAGGAAATAGACACACATTAAGCACTTACTGTGTGCCAGCCACTCTGATGGTCACTGTCAAGCATTTTAATTTGTTACAAATTCCCATAGAGCATAGGAGACAGTGTGGTCTCCATTGAGGGGTGTACCCCTCCACACCCATAACATTCATTCCAGTCTTGCAACTTACTTAGGAAGGCCTAGGCAAGACTTTTTTTCTTTGATTTCAGAGCCCAGAAAAAACTGATTGCTGCTGGACCCATTTTTAATCGAATGGACTCTCTGGATCTTGTGTGTGTGTGTGTGTGTGTGTGTGTGTGTGTGTGTACGAGTATATTGCTTGCATGTATGTAAGTGCACCCTTGTTGTGCTATGCCCACAGAGGTCAGAAGAGGGCGTCAGATCCTCTGGAACTGGAGTTACAGGAGGTCGTTAGCCACCATGTGGGTCCTCTACAAGAGTAGCCAGTGCTCTTAACTGCTGAGTCATCTCTCTAGCCCCAACTGTCTGGATCTTGAAGCTCTTTGAATTCTCTTTACTCAGCCGTAAGGAAGCTCAGAGGCGAAATTGCTGAGGTTCACCTTTTTTTTTTGGTCCTTTTGAGACAGGGTGTCCCTGTAGCCCCAGCTGGGAGGCTCACCTTTTGCTACAGAATCTCATGGAGGTGCATGTAACATACTATTTCCTGCCTCCATCTTATGCTTTTATCTCACCTTTCCACATCATTTTCTATTAAAAACCACTGGAGGCTGGAGAGATGGCTCTTTGTTGGTTAAGAGCACCTGCTGTTCTTGCAGAGGACCTGAGTTTGGTTTCTAGCATCCACATTGGGTAGCTCACAACTACCTGTAACTCTAGCTCTTGGGGATCTGACACTCTCTTATGGCCTCCATGGGCACTTGCATGTACTTGTGCCCTCTCACACATGTACATACAAAGAATTGAAAATAATAAAAAAATTTAAACAACAACCATCAGATTCCATTGTCTGTATAGCTTCTCAAACACCTTTAGAAGTGAGACAGAAAGGCACAAATGCTTTTAAAGATTAAAAAAGTAAGGCCCAGAGAGGTTATATTTGTCCAAGGCCACACAGTTATTAAACAGAACTGGAAATTTGATCTTGGCATCTGTTTGACTCCATTTTTCCGCTGCACCAGCCTCTGGGATTGGACAAGTTACAGGTAATCAGGGGCTTCCTGGAGAGTTGGGAGGGGCCCGACCTTGGCAGACTCAACCTTTACCTCCTGCCAGGGCTCACTCAAACTTTTTTCCCTTTGAGTAGCAGGTCCAGATGGGGAATCTCACTCTAGGCCATGTGCATCAAGGGGACCCAGAGCTTCCTGGTCACACCCATCCTTAGGGACTTGCCTCAACTTCTGTGGCTGGGCAGAACAAATGGAAAACTAGAGAAGGCTTGGCCTTGGCAATCACCATAGAAACGAATATATATTCTAAAGTTGGGCATTGTAGTACACACCTGTAATCCCAGCACTCAGGAGGTGGAGGTGGGAGGATCAAGAGTTCAAGGCCAGCTATAGGGGGTGCAGATAGAGAAGGGGGCGCTGAATATGATTAAGATGTATTATATAGGGGCTGGAGAGATGGCTCCAAGGTTAAGAACACTGACTGTTCTTGCAGAAGACCTGGGTTTAAATCCCAGCACCCACATGGCATCTAACAACTGTCTATAACTCCAGTTCCAGGGGATCCAACAGCCTCTTCTGTCCTCTGTGGGCATTGCACGACATGGGTGCACTTACCTACAATGTATTATATAAAATTCAATACAAAAATTTTAAAAAAAGAGAGTTCAAGGCCAAGCTGGGCATGGTGGCACATGTCTTTAATCCCAGCACTCAGGAGGCAGAGGCAGGAGAATCTCTGTCATATAAAGGCTATCCTGGTCTACATAGTGAGTTCCAGGTCAGCTGGGGCTACAGGGAGACCCTACCTCAAACAACAACAACCACAATCACAAAAAAGAAAGAAAGAGTTCAAGGCTAGCCTTGGCTACCTAGTGAATTTGAGGCCAGCCTAGGCTACATGAGACCTTGTCTCCAAAAAAACTAAACCAACCAAGCAACCAAAAGTAAAATCAAATATATTTCCAAGATGTTCTGAGAAACATTTATAGCACCTCCAGAACTGAAGTGTGTGTGTGTGTGTGTGTGTGTGTGTGTGTGTGTGTGTGGTGTTGCACACCAATTCCATAGGGAATGATGAATGGATACAACCTCAGGGAGTCACATTTGTCTGCAGTCCTATGGCCAGCAAGCACCAAGTGTCTAAGGATCAGGCTGGGGAGCCCATGGTATACATTCGGCAACTCAGTCCCTTGTCCTGTGCATCTTTTCTATCCCCCAGGAGCTTCTCTCCCATGGGAGGAAGATTTAGGGTTTCCCAGGGAGGCCTTCCATGTGCTCATAAGATAGGAATTTTCTTTCTTTCTTTCTTTCTTTCTTTCTTTCTTTCTTTCTTTCTTTCTTTCTTTCTTTCTTTCTTTCATCTTTTGTTTTGTTTGGATTTGTTTTGTTTTTTTGAGACAACTCACTATGTAGTCCTGGCTGGCCTGGAACTATTAGACCAGGCTGGCTTTGAGCTCACAGAGATCTATTTGCCTCTGCTTCCCAAGTGCTGGGATTAAAGCATGTGCTACCACACTTATCTTTTTTTTTTTTTTAATATAAAAATGCACCTGTGTAGCCCACGCTGGCCTCAAAATCTCCATCCTCCTGCTTCAGTGTCAGGCTTATATGTGTGCATCCTCACACCCAGCAAATTCCTTTATTATGGAGACTGGCTCCAGGCAAGTGCCTCACAGCTTGGGGACTCTGAAGACAGAAGAATGAGCCCATCCAGAGTAGACCTGAGTGGAGTGGTCAGAGAGCAGCAGTCTCTGATAACCTAGGAGACACACGGAGACTCAGAGCTAGTGAGTAATGAATGAAGGGTTATCCGGATGAGCCCCAAGTCTCCAATGTGGAATGCCTTCCGATGCCAGTATGCACAGGGTAGAGTAGAATAATAACAATAAAGAAGGATTTTCACAAAACCTCCATTTACTTTGGCCTTTGAGTGTTCTGCCAGCTTGCAATGAGTGCCTTAGTCTTCTCAATCTATGAAGAGCACCTATAAATCAATATGACAAAGACCAGCAATCTAATAAGAATAGTGGCAAGGCATATAGACGTTCAACTGGGTACACTTACAGAGTGTGGCATTTA